GGCCCCCCATCATCCCCAGTCCTTGGGTGAGTCTAGGACTCCGAGGCTGGCCCCCCATCATCCCCAGTCCTTGGGTGAGTCTAGGACTCTGAGCCTGGCTCCCCGTCATCCCCAGTCCTTGGGTGAATCTAGTACTCCGAGCCTGGCCCCACATCACCCCCAGTCCTTGGGTGAGTCTAGGACTCCAAGCCTGGCCTCCCATCATCCCCAGTCCTGGTGACCGGTGGGCCCGTGGCAGAGAACATACCAGAAGGACAGGGTGTAGTCGTTGGGGAAGCTCTCGCTCTCCCGCACCAGGAAGGTCCCATCCTTGCCCCCCGACTCGGCACAGTACTCCTGCAGCAGCTTCTCGGCGCTGACCCTCTTCTCCACCTTCTTGTGGAACCACTTCTCCCCAAAGTGCAGCTCCGTGGGGGGCGTGTCCTGGACCACACACAGAGGAGCTCAGGAGCCCAGAGCAGCATCACCAAAGGGGCCCTCGGGCACGTGCTGATTCAGGGAGAGGCCCCTGCTGCCTGGGACTGGATGGAGGAAAAGGTTGGTCCTGACTGGCCCTCACCCCAGAGGTCTGGGAAGACAGCCAACTTTCCCTGACCACCCTGCTTACCACCCCACTCCCCCTTTAGGGAGGCCTTCTTGAGTCCTGAGATATGGAAAAAGGAATTCCCATGAGGACCCTCAGCTCTAGTCTATACTTAAGAAAGAACACAAGCAGGGGTCACAGTCAAAGGAGAAGGCAGAAAGCCCTGAACCCGGCTGGGGCTGAAGAGAGCCCCCCAATTTCCCTACTGTCCCCAGGACGCACAGGCTGCTACCTTACTGGTTAAACGCGTGGGACAGCCAGCCACTCAGAGTAAAGCTAGGCAGGCCTTGGAACCCAAATTGAGGAACCCCACTCCAGCCAGCCAGAGGCAGGTGGTCTTCCAGGGCCCCCATGAACAGCCCAGCTCAGGACAAGCTGAGGGTCCACCTACCTGGGGCAACTCCTCTTCAATCGTCTGTTCAATGTCATCACTGAAGGACAGCTTGGCATCGGCGATGGCGCAGTAGTGACGAGTCCATTTCTAAGAGGCGAGAGCAGTGTGAGTCCCCCCTGGAGACCCCCAGGGCTGTGGCCATCAATGCTGGGCTCCAGCTTCCTGTCTGGGTCACCAGCATTCCCCGAGGGGCTATTCGACACTCCCAGTTTCCTAGGCTTTGGTGGTTGTTATTGTTAAGTGCTGTCGAGTCAGTTATAAAACACAGTGACCCTGCATAGGGTTTCTGAGGAGCGGCTGCTGAGTTTGAACTCCCAAACTTGCAGTCCAGTGCTTATCCTACAGTGCCACACCGGGACTCTTTCTAAATGCCTTACTTCAAAACAGGTGGAAGTCTCCCAGAAATGGAGAATACTAAGGGGTTAGGAGAGACCCAGAGGGAGAAAGATGAGGCTTTCTGCGCCCGTAGATTTACAGGCTCGGAAACCCTGTACAGGGTCACTATGGGTCGGAACCGACTCCACAGCACTTAACAACAACAACAAGGAGAGACCCAAGATGGCACAGCAATTAAGCGCTCAGCTGCTAACCTAAGGCTGGTGGGTCTGCCTTAGGAACCTTATGGGCAATTCTACCCTATCTTATAGGGTCACTAAGAGTAGAAACTTAGTTGGCGGTTCTAGACTAGGTGTACTTTTGCTTTGGGTATAAACGAATTAACAGTGTGGTACCAACATCCATGCACAATAGTACTACAACAACAACAACAACGGCACTATGATTACTGTGTATGTTACCACTGGGAGGAGCTGAGTGTAGGGTCTATGGGAGCTCTCTGTACTATCGTAAAGAAAGAATCAATGTATTTATGCATACAGATGGCCCTGGGCGGCGCTGTAGGGTGAGCACTGGACTGCTAACCACAAAGTGGGCAGTTCAAACCCACCAGGTGCTCCTCAGAAACTGCATACCGGGTTGCTATGAGTCAGGACAGGCTCAAAGGCACTTAAAACAACCGCATGGTCACCATGAGTCATCTAAACTTAGTGGCAACAAGGCTGGTATTCTGGTTTATGGCGAAAAACACCCAAACCAAAGCCCACTGCCATTCTGCCAATTCTAACTCACGGTGAGCTACAGAGGGTTTCCAATGCTGTCTGTCGTTACTCCAATAGAAAGCCACATTCTTTCCCAGGCAGAGTGGCTGGTGAGCTTGAACCACTGATCTTGCAGTTCGCAGGACAGCGCTTATCCTATGGCGCTCCTTTATGCGTAATACTCAGGATAAAATTATCCCAAAATGAAGTATTCAAAAAGCAAACCCGCTAACACTTCACAACGAGGATAAATCCGTTTGGCAAAAATGGACCAGGGTGAAAATGGAGAGCAGCCCAGAGGGCCCCCTCACCCACGAGCCCTCCAGCAGGTCTCCGGTTCATTGGGGCGGAGGGCCTGCTACAGTAGGTGTGAGCAGGGCCCAGCCCACCTGCTCGATGGAATCCCACATGTACAGTTCCCCCTGCTGCTTCTGTTCGTCCTTCTTGTCCTCCACATTGATGTCCACATCGCCTCGGGGACCCAGCTTCTTATGCTGAAGGGGAAGAGAGAAGCACATGACCCAGGTCTGGGATCCGCAGGACAGCAATGCTACCTCAGGGCCTTTGCATTTGCTGTTCTTGCATCTGGGCTTCTCTCTCTGGATGGTCTGGTTTGTATGAGTGTCATGTCCTTAGAGGAATGTCCCTGAACACTTCCCCTAGAAAGATCCTAGTCAACATGTTGTGAGGCTGGGTGTGAGTATCCCCACTTGCACGGCAGGCACGGGAGCACACTCTCGGAAGCCAGCCAGACCTGGCCTCAGATGCTTCCCTTAGCAGACAGCACCACATCTTTCCACATAGAAGTTACCCTCAGAAATCCCGGGCCCCTGCCTACACCACCCACAGGAAATTAATCAACGAGGTAAGGTACAGTGTTTGCCAAATAAACCTTATAACGCTCACAGTATATACATAAAATCATGGTATCACGTCACGCTCAGAGTGAGCTCAGGACAGGGGTTCTGTTACTGTACCCCAAGACCAGTGAGGGCAGAGAGGCAGTGAGAAGTTGAGGGGTTTGCCTGTAAGCAGAGCTGGAATCAGACCCTGAGTGGCCAGGTAGACCCAGAGGGTAAAGCAGGGCAGCAGGCCTGGGACCCACCTTGATGATGATCTTCCCGCGCAGCTGGCTGGGTGAGGGCAGCTGGTCAGCACTGGCCTCAGTGGGCTTCACCAGCAGCAGGTCGTCCAGCACCTCCTTGAACACCTTGGCCATGTAGCGCTGCTGTTCCACGCCACAGTGCTGCTCAATGGACAGGACCACGGGGAAACTGCGGCCAGAGGGGGGACTCAGGGGGCAGCTGGGGTGACCACTGCTCTAGCACACTCCCAGCCTGGCCAGCAGAGAAGCCAGGAGTCGCCCGACCCCAGGGAAACAGGCACCAGGTCATGCCTGTCTGAAAGCAAACTAAGGGTCTGCTCACATGGAGCAGCCCACCCGCCATATGGGGCAGACTGCACGCGGGGCACAAGCCCAGCGGTCACAATAACTCTAATTCACGGAGTAAGGAGCTCCGGTAGCGTAGTGATTACGAATCTGGCTGCGAACTGCGAGGTGAGAAGTTCGAAACTACCAGCCGCTCCGTGGGAGAAAGATGAGGCTTTCTGCTCCCGTAAAGATTGACAGCCTTGGAAACCCTGTGCAGGGTCACTATAAGTTGGAACCAACTCCACGGCACATAACAACAACAACAAATTCACGGAGTCTCAAAATCAAGCACTCCAAATCACTTCTCTATGCCAGGTCAGAACCACGTACAAAGCCTACAGAGATTTCTCTTACTTGTCTTTCAATCCACTCATTTCTTTTAAACTTGGGAGGGGGTCGGGGGTGTGTGACTAAACCAGAAGTCCCTACTCTTTTTTGAACAATTAAAAATCTGCAGGAAAGGTAAAAAGATGCAATGAGCACTCGTACATCCTGCGTCAGAAGTCAGCAACATTTGGCATTTTGCACAGATGCATCTATACAGGTGAGTCACTGAATGGTGGGGCTGGTTAATGCACTCGGCTGCTAACCAAAGATCTGGAGATTTAAGACGACCCAGAGGTTTCTCAGAATAAAGGTCTGGTGAATGACTCCCAAAAAAATCAATCACTGAAACCCCTATGGAGCTCAGTTCAACTCTGCTACACATGGAGTCACAGGTATGTGGGAGTGTGTGTGCGTGTGTGGAGGTGTTGATGGAATCTGGATCACTTCTACCTTTCAACTACAGTCAACACGTATGCAGCTGCCTTACATATGAACCGTACATACCAGCGGTGAGCACCCCATCTCAGCTGCAGAATGTTTCATGCCTACTAGTGTGTAGGAACACAGGAGCTGGGCCAGGGTCAGAACACTATGGACCGCAGGCCTGCCACCTCGTTTTGTCAATAAAGTTTTATTAGAACACAGCACACCAATTATCTGTATTGTCTGTGGCTGCTTTCAGTCCCAACAGCAGACAGACTAGCAGCCTTACGTAACAGGATCTGGCCAGGAAACAGAAGGTTTACCACGTGGTCCTACACACGGCGGTCTAGTGGCCTCTGCTCTAGGCAGCACCACTGTTGTTGTTGTTAAGTGCCATCGAGTCGGTTCTGACCCATAGTGACCCTGTACAGGGTTTCCGAGACTGTAAATCTTTATGGGAGCAGAACGCCTCATCTTTTTCCTGCCGAGTGGCTGGTAGTTTTGAACTGCTGACCTTAAGGTTCGTAGCCCGATTCATAACCACTACGCTACCAGAGCTCCTCAGACAGCTCCACTAGGAGCCCCTAATGTTGACACTTATGCACTTAGCGACCCTGTGCCATATCTATCCCAGGGAGACCCCAGTGCCCACGTGTAGTGAAGAAGTCCAGATCACGTGTACTAAGAGTCTGAATCCCTAGGTGTACTTAAAACACAAATCCTGCGAGTTATTATATCTTTTAAATTCTTCCTGTGAAAACAAGTCTCAGGGCAGGACTGGATAGAAAAAGGGAGTTGGGACCAGAAAGGAGCTTTTACTCTGGAAGGTGGGACCAGGCTCAATGAAGACGAAGCAAGGGCAGAGGTCACGGAACACCGACCTGGACCTCCTTCAGGCTTAAGAAGCCCTCACAGCCCATGGGGGCGCCAACATTCAACTAAGGGACACACAGGGACTTAGACCAAGATGGAGCTTGAACTTGGGTATGTGTGTGTGTGAGAGAATGAGCGTGTGAGATGATGAGAAAGAACACAAGAATGAGTGTGTGTGAGCAAAAATGAGCGAGTTAGATATGTGTATATTGTACAGGTGTGTACTGTTCGTGAATGTGAAACAGATTGTGTGTGTGAAAGTGGGAGACAGAGTGTGTGGGAGTGTGGAAGAGCACATGTATGCGTGTGTGCATGCATGTGTGAATGTACAGATGTGTGTACTGTATGAGTGTATATGAGTAAGAGAGTGTTGTATGTATCCAATTCTACACCAGAAGAACCCAATAGGTCCCAGCTTCCACTACCAAATGCTTCAAAAGGGATCACATAAGAAGGTCTAGGACAAAGTGAAAGAAAATGTGGACCTAAACTCAAAATCCTAAGAGACCAGGCGTACTGGTCAGACAGAGGCTACTAGAACCCGAGACGACGGCTCTCGTTCATTCTTCAGGTCTAGAATTGAACTCACCTCTGTGGTTCCATTTTAAATCAAGCAATAGGTATGTATATGGGGGGGACAACAACACTAGGGAGGTACGCAAAGCAAAGAATGGCCAACCATTCAAGATCAAAAGGGCAGCCATGTACCTAAGGACAAAGTTCAAAAGGGTCAGGAGAGGAGGAGAAGTAGAAACACGGGGAACTAGTGGGATTAGTGATGTTACCCTGACTGGACTGCTTGTCTAATGGCCTATGATGTGTTGAATGTGTGTGTGTGCGTCTCTCTCCCGCAGATGCACATATACAACAGGGCTTCAAAAAGTTTGTAAGGAAATTCCTTTCTCTTTTCTTTCCCTATCTCCACAAACTTTTTGAAGCCCTCTCTACCTACAAATCCTAGCTGCCTCACTGTTCAAAGCAGATCACGAGGAAATCTATCAATCAACCAACCTGGAGGTGACAAAAGCGTGGTCTTTGATGGCCTGCACAACGTCGTCAAACTTGATCTTGGTGGTCCGTGTCCAGCCATGGTAGATAATGGGCTTCCCATCTGGCCCATCCCAGCAGTCCACTAAGGGGAGACATGTGGCATCCTCAGCAACGTTCCCCATTGCCCATCCACACACATCCACCAATGGGCAGACATGCGGCTTGCGTTGAGTTTAGCCCCTGCCACACACAACCAGCTCCATTACCAAGACACAGAACTCTGGGCCCAATAATTCCACTGTGGAGCTCATGTGTACCTTTGGCTTCATGGGGAGACGTTTTGGAAATTAAAGGTAATTCTATAATGCAGTAATATATATGTCCATGAGGGACCATTTTAAATAGCTCATTTTCAAAAGGCAATTATAATGCATTTTATTTTCTGATGTCAACTGTTTAAAACTCGGCTGGCTTTTTCTGCTCAGAAACACCATCAACACTCATGGAAGCGCAGTCAAGAAATCAACAAGGCACTGTATTAGACAAATCTGCTACACAAGATCTCTTAACAGCATCCAAGAGCAAAGATGTCAGTTTGAGCACTAAGGTGCACCTGACCCAAGCCACAGTATTTTCTATAACTTCACGTGCACGTGAAAGTTGGGCAAAGAATAAGGGAGACTGTAGAAGAATTGATGCATTTGACTTATGGTGTTAGACAAAAATATGTAAAGTACCAGGAACTACCAGAAAAACAAACAAATTTGTCCTGGAAGAAATACAGTCAGAATGCTCCTTAGAAGTCAGGATGGCGAGACTTTGTTTCCTACTTCAGACATGTTATCAGGAGGGATCAGCCCCTGGAGGACACCATGCTTGATAAGAGGAAGACCCCCAGTGAGATGGATTGGCACAGTGGCAGCAGGAATGGACTCAAGCATAGCACTGATTGTGAGGTTGGCCCAGGACCGGGCAGTGTTTCATTCTGTTGTGCACAGGGTCACTATGAGTCGGAACCAACTCAATGGCACCTAGCGACAACAACAAATTCCTTGTTAAAGGCTCATGGTAAAAGGTTGAAAGACAAACAGATTATACAGTCGTTAAGTACCGCCACATGTACCAGTGATGATATTAAACTCTCTTGTTTCACATTTACTTCCTCTCTCACCAGCCAAAAAAAAAGATGAAGAAAGTGGGGAACAGTCAGCAATACTAATGGCTACTGAAGTTGGATATCACCGAGAACATTTATGTTAAGAATGGGGCCAAATCATTGTGGCTGCCTTTTCTGGACAAATGCATGTAGGAGCCGCTGGTTAAGTGATGAGGGGAGAGTAGGAACTGAAGTGCTAACAAGGAAAAGATGAGGAACGAGGCCTCCATGCCTGCCTGGCTCAGATGCTGGCCTCCTGACCCTCCCTTACACTTGCTCAAAGACCCCCAGAACAGGTGATACCTGGTCTCTGCACCTTCACACACTCAAGAGCCAGCTGCTAATTCCTTTGCCTTTTTCTAGAAGCCCAATGGTGGCTCAGGGAGGACAGCGGTTAATGAAGCTGTTCTCACTCACTACCCTCGCCTCAAGTTTCCATGCCAGCCGCATATGTTCTAGAGACCCACAGCCAAAGCCCACCAGAACAGACAGGACCCCAACACAGCCAGTCTTGACACCATTCCTTGACTTGGGAACATGTCATCTAGGGAGATGTCATTGGACATTGGTGGCTGCCTCACTAATCACATTACTGGATGCAGGTTTGCCCAACCACCCCCACTGGAAAAATTAAAAAGTCTTCAAACAACTGCATGGCTAGTCTCAATTCATCGCAAATGTTTTTTCCCCCAAGGCCCAACCCACAGCTGTTCGGTCACTTCCTACTTACAGCGACTCCGTAAGACAGAATAGAACAGTCCCATAGGATTCCCAAAGTCACAAACTGCCACATATTCCTCCCGCTGAATGGCTGGTGGGTTTGAACTGCTAACCTTTGTGTTAGCAGCCCATCGTTTATCCCACCCCACCACCAGGGAACAAGCTACTCACACTCAATGCAGCGGCAGCCCATACGCAGACAGCGGATGTACGCCTCTGGGGATGACTCACTTCGCAGCTGGTCTCCTGTGAGGTACCTGAAGAGAAAGAGAGGGGTAGCTGTGAGGAGGTAGTGTCACACTGGGGTGGGGGACCCTTGGGGAGCTCTTCAGTCCTAGTCCGCAGACTCCAGAGTTATTCCTGTTGAGACAGGCCCATGTCCCTGTTATAGAAAGTACACAATCACCACCTTGTCAGTCCATGTGTGGGGGTGAGATTGTGCTGGTGGAGAAGCCGGGCAGCGGTATCAGGAGTGAGACAGACAGGCAGATGCATTAGTAAGACTGACAGAAAAATACACACATCTGTCTGGGAAGAAGTACAGCCAGAATGCTCCACACAAGCCAGAATGACAAGATGGACATTCCTTTACCCATCACGCTTGTTAAAGAAGAGGGTCAGTGCAATTTGTAGGGCATATGGAAGGAAATTTTGGTGACCACAGTTCATAGGTAACCACATTCCACCAACAATACAGACATACCTTGTTTGATTGAGCTTCATGCTTTTTGCATTTTGTAGATTCTGTATTTCTTCTACAAATCAAAGGTGTGTGATAATCCTCCATCGATGAGACACCATTTTTCCAACAGCGCGGACTCACTTTGTGTTTCTGTCTTACACTCTGCCCATTGTCACACGATTTCAAGCTTTTTCATCATGCAATCATAGACTACAGTATCATGTAAACATTACTTTTCTATGCACGGTTGCTGTTGTGAAGTGCTGTCAAGTCGGTTCCGACTCAGCGATCCTGCATAGGGTTTCTGTGGAGCAGTTAGTGGGTTTGAACCTTGGTAACCAGTCCAGTGCATCTCTTACAGTGTCACACCAGGCCTCTTGTTGTTGTTGTTGTTAAGTGCTATTAAGTTGGTTCCGACCCATAGCGACCCTGTACAGGGTTTCCAAGGAGTGACTGGTGATCATGAACCACCGACCTTGTCATTCAAACGGCTTTACAGTCAGGTGCATTAACCCACAGCGCCACACACCAGGGCTCTATGCACTGGGAAATCAAAAAAATTTGTGTGACTCATGTTATGGCGGTACTTTTACAGTCTGAAACTGAACATGCGCTATCTACCAGGTATGTCTGTGAGTGTTGTGTTTGCTCATTCTCCTCCTCCTCATGATGCCGCCACACCATTTTATAAAAAGCGTTTACGTTCCTTAACCGTCTTCTGGGTTTGGTAGAAGTTACCACTGTAAGATACAAGCTCTTACAGCAATGAGAAGGGCTGAGGGGGAGGAGAGAGAAAAACCAGGACCATGTGATTAACTTTACCTGAAAGAGTTTGCCTTCTGGCATGTCTGAAGGAAGAACAAAGGTCTTCTCTCAGACCCTGCCCCCTGCCTGAAAACCAGGCACTTGGGAATGTGCCACCCTGGAGCTTTCTGGATGCCAGGGACCCACAGACTTCAGCCTCTCTCCTTGCCAGGCAGATGAAACGCTGGAACTTGAACGCACCATCCATGCCCCCACAGCCAGCTGTGCGCCTCTGTGTAATTGGGGTAATCTTCCAAAGAGAGTTCTGAACACATGTGCCTCTTAGACCTCACAGTCACTGGCTGTTCCCCACTGCCTTCACGGGATAAATCAAGCTGTTACTTGTGATGTCTCAGATCCCATTCAAGCTGGCCCTGCTGAACCCCTCTTGATCCTTCATTCTAGCTTGACGAGACTTCTCTTGGTTCCTCCTGCCCCTTGGCCTTTGCACCAAAACAAGTGTTCACTCATCCCATCCACTTGCTCTCTCACCAACTCCTCGTCATCCGAAAGGCCCAATGGAAGCACTGTCCTCTCAAAACACAGTAAGGTGAGGTACCACTCCTGCATCGCTCCCCACTGGACCCGCAACACCTGGTACAGGGTCCAGCACGCACAGGCACTCAATGCACATTAGCTGAATCCCTATTCAAATTGCTCTGACGTGGCCACAGTGAGATGCCCACACCATGAAAACTCGTTTTCATAATCTGCTTTAAAAAACAAAAATAAACTAACTTTATATTGTGTTTTCCATGAAAATGTACCCAGCAGTTCAAGTCCCCATTCAACAATTTCTACACAAGTTGTTCAGTGACACTGGTTACATTCTCCGTGTGTGAACATTCGCATGATTTCTTTTCTGGTTGTTCCATTTCCATTCATCTAGTCTCCCTGCTCCTGCTCCTTTACATTCTGCTGGTTGTAAAGTCACGGTTGACAGCTTGGCCTGATCTAGGTGATGATTTTTTAAAGCGGCATGGTACCTATGGGTTGCATTCATCATTTTTTGTACCAGTCTGTTAGCTACAAGGTGACCGTGGAGGTTAGTTTTAGTTCAGGATTTGAAGAGTTGAAGAGTACCTCGGGGCAACTGTCTCCAAGAGTCCTCCTGTGTCAACCAGTCCAGGAGGTCTGATTATTTGACCTTTTTTTTCACTTTAGAAACTGAGATTGTGTTCCACAATTTTCTCCCGTTCTCTCAGATAGACTGTGGCCCCAATTCGAATCATCAGTAGTGGTAGCCGGGCAACATCCACTTCTGGTCTCAGGGTAGACGAAGCCACAGTTCATGCAGACAGTTTTGGTAATTTGTTTTTTATGGCCTTAGAAAAAGGATTCTTTCTGCAAGGTTGACTGGGAAAGGGAGTGTACATCCCCACCCAGAAGCTGTTATGTGTTCCAGCATGAGAAGTGGCACGCTCCCCGTCAACTACACGACCTCCTTTTCTGAGATCAGCCCACCAGAAAGCCGCCTCACATCACCCTTGTTGGGCCTGCACTCTGGGGAACTCACGTGTTATGTGACGAGGAGATCCAGTAGTGAGACAAGGGGTTGTTCATATCCTGCATGTCGACCACGTCATACTTCTCATCCCAAATACTGTTTTCTCGTGAGAACAGGTATGTGAGGAACTAAGGGAGCCACAAACACAACGAGAAAACCATCAAAGGGATGAAAAGACTCTGTTCATTTCTAGTCTGTGCCAATAGGAGCAGGGTAGCTCGGGTGCACAAAGCCAACAGACCCTCCCCAGGCCTTGGTTCCTGAGCGATTCAACACAGAAGGAACAGACTGCAAAAAGGCTGTATCAGCACAGAGATTTCTCTCATAATGAACAGAGTACTTTCCTTTTAATGTCTGCCCAAAAGAACAATGTTTCCCCTATTACTTGAAGAATTCGATGGTTAATGCACTCGGCTGCTAACTGAAACGTTGGAGCCATTTCAGTCCATCAGAGGTGCCTCGGAAGAAAAGCCTGGTTACCTACTTCTGAAAAATCAGCCATGCAGTTCCCACACATGAAGAAGTCACTGCGAGTCAAAGTTAACTCCAGGTCAGTTTTAGGCATAATAATAACAATGTATGTGTGTGACCCTACCACCAAAGTTAAGAAACCGAGTATCACCAACATCCTCACATCTAAAAGGCAGGAAATTTTACATAAACATCCCAATTTCTAGCCCCTAAAAAATAAAAGTAAAAAACCTGAAGACTGAAGGACACTAAATGTGCGCTGCATCCTGGAAACAGTCCTTAGAGGCATGGATGCGCCCCAGTTCCCTCAGCCCCTGTCCCAAGCTTCCTACTCATGGCCCACATCAACAGCTAGCTAGCCCCAACAACCTTGGACCTCGTTCGTGTTTACCACGAACAGGCTCCCTCTAGTGGTGGATATGATAACCCAGCCTAGCAACACAGGCAAAAGAAAAAGAGAAAGGCTGGAATATTCCAGAATTGGGGGGAAAACAGCTCCTAGTAGAATTATTTGAAGCAAAGCCCTCCAGTTAAACAGAACCAAAAAATTAACCTGGAGGACAGAGAAACGAACCCAAAGTTCGCAGCATCATGACAGCAAACCCCGTTCGCTCACCTCATCAACAAACAAGAAGGGCTCAGCAGTTTCCCTCATGGTATCGTCGATAAACTTGGTCATCCGTTCACGGACTTTGTTGAGATCCTGAGCCCATGACTCCTTAAAAGATAGAGAAGCAAGAAATCACCACAAAGAAGGTGAACAATATTCTTCACTTCTCGGGGTCCAGTCTACATCACAGAACAAAACGTCACCAAAATTCTGAAGACTAAAACGTCACTCCGATCAGGATCATACTGTCCTGGAGAGTGTGAGAGAAACCATAAAACGAAACTCAAAA